GGGCGGAGCGGAGGGGGGAGCGCCGGCACCTGCACCCGGGAGCTGGACGCGCATGTGCGCTTTCCCGGGAAGCGGGGCTGGCAACTTTCCGTGCGATGCCCAGCTGGGGTGATGGGAGACCGAAGGGACGGGCCTTATTAGATCCCGGATGCCTGTAAAGGATGCATGCATTCCACGCGTGACCAAGTTCATACATCTGAACACATAGCACACCGGCGTCATGCACGTGAAAACACTTAGCATGTACGTGTCACATACACCAACACACACACACGAATATCTGTCCTATACACGCGACTGCAGCCCAGATTGCACCCGCTCACATTTATCATTACTGTGCGGCGTGCCCTGATCTTTTTTTAACGCTAGTTACAAAGCTCTAAGTACATCTCACAACACGGTTTGAGAGATGTACTTTCGGTCTCGGTTTGAAAAATTCCTGCCCTGCGCGCGCACGGTATGAACGAGGTTACAGCATAGAGTGTGTTTTATTGTAAATCAGCATCAAAAAACTTTGAAAGCCACCAGGAGAGTACTCACTCCTCAGCATTTAACATATACAGCTACTCGGAGATGTCAAGAAATCCTTGATTCAACAAAGATATTTAACTTTCACCAACCCTGAAATTTTCCAGATTTTTGTAAATGGAACATCAGGCTTTTCTTTAACCTGTCAGATGAGCAAGGATTAAAAATATGGGTGATATCCAGTATGTGCCCTCAGTAAGTGAGTCTGCTCAGAGTTCTCAGATTTGGCCTTAAATAAACCCTCTGAAGGTCTAGACCAGAGGTGAGGAACAGGGAAGCCCAATTGCCCAGAACACCAAGCCTAGTTCTCCAGCATCAGCATTGTTGGGAATTAAGGTGTGCGGCCTCCATCTGCTGGGTATTTTTCAAGTATTTTAATTGACTAGGACCATGGGCAGGGAAGAGGTTTCTATTTTTTTAAAAATCCCAGCATTGCTGTCCCCTCCTTTGGTCATAGGTTCCACCTGCTGCTCGTGGTGTGAGCATCACTATACTGGTTTATCACGCGGCCCATTGTGTGAGCCAAGTACTTCCTTTGGCGCTCCGCTAAAGAATTAGTCATCTGCCCCCATGCTAGAGGAAAAGATGGCTTATCAAAATAGGATTCCTCTGAAAGATTTTCAAAGATTTTTTAAAAATACTCTCAAGTAAAAAATTTCAAGCCTAGTAGTGCAGAATATAAAATGGTATTATCGGTTCCCATTACCCCTCACCTAGCTTCAGAGATTATCGTGGCCACTCTTGTGTAATTCATGCCCCATCCATTAATCACTCTCCCCATTATTGTGAAGTGAATTCTAGACAACATCTCATGTAAATATGTCAGCATCTCTTAAAAAGGGGCGGGGGATTGTTTTTGAAGACATCATTCTCTCATTATCGCCCTACAAAAACTAACAATAGTTTTCAAGGATACATTGGGGGTAAAAGATTCCCCACCACAGGTGCTCCGGTAGAGCCTAATGCCTGTGGAATGGGATTCCCTTATTGTGTGCCGTCCTACTTCCTTCTCCAGACTGCAGCTCCTCCGGCCGGCTCGCCTGTGGGCCTGCTGTAGTGCTGTAGGATGGGCCCTTAAGTACTTGGGCATTAAATCGATGATGTCTAAAAGGCAGTGGAAAGAGGTAGTTTAAAATCACGTAACTGTTACACAGCCCTTAGAACCGCTAAAGTGCAACATAGTGGCAGCGCCAAATGTTGGCAAAGAGGCGGAAAAACCCGGCCTTCCCTACGGTACAATGTTACAGCCACTCTGGAAAAGAGTTTGGTCATTTCTTTTTCTTTTTTTTTTTTTTTAAAGATTTT